AGTATATATATACTTTGCTGGTTTTTGTGTTTCTCTAGAGAACCCAATCCAACACAGGTTCATACTCCCCAATATCAAAACCTACTATACAGTCACAGTAGTCAAAACAGCCTGGTCTAGGTACGAAGATAGACAGATAGACCAGTGGAACAGAATTGAGAACACAGAAGTAAATCCATCCACCACTGGAGAGCTGATGCTTGACAAGGGTTGAAAACAATTAAATGGGGAAGACATAATCTCTTTAACAAATGGTGCTGGTAAACATGGATATCCTTTTGCATAAAAATGAAACAGGATCCACATCTTTCATCATACACAAAAATTCACTCAAGGTGGCTCAAGGACCATAATATAAAGCATAAAACAGATGGAAGAAGAAAGGGTAAATTACTAACTAGAGGACCAGAACTTATTAACTTCAGTGAAGGGGAAGGCAATACACAAGAGGAGGTCAGCATCAAATGATCAAAGCAAAGGAAGATCTTGGGAGGAGCACAAGAGTTAAAGGCAACAAAGGTAAATACTACTACATACATAATCCCGCAGCAACAGTAATAACAGCAGTCTACAAGTGGATACACAGACCCACGGGTGAATAGGTGTGGGAAGGCAAATTTTTTTAAAAAATTTAAAGATTAAGAAGTAGTAAGGAGACAGATTTTACCATTAATATTTCTAAAATTTCTGCAGACACAAACTCTATTATAAAAGCAATTACCTTATTGTACAAAAATATCACTAATATACAGTGATATTTTTTATTTTTTATAATTAAAAAACTATAACACAGTAAGACTAAAAAGTGAAAGGAACTAAGCAAACCAAGTGCAATCATTAAAAATAACTACTGCTGACTCTCAGTCCTCCATTCTCTCTTGGGAAGGTTCGGTGACAGCTGTGCAGGAGGCCAATCAAATTTTCATGATACCAAGTTAAAGGTTACATCTTTAGGAGCAGGTCTTTCAGAATGCAGCTTCTGTGTATTCACCCCAAAGATTAATCTAATTAGTAAAGAATACTGGCCAAAGCTACCATTTACTAGGAGCTTATTATGTGTCAGAGTCCCCGGATGGTGTAAAAGTTAACACATTCACCTGATAATTGAGAAGCTGGAGGTTCAAATCTATCTATAGGTGTATTAGAAGAACGGCCCGGCCATCTTCTTCTAAAAAAGCAGCCATTGAGAAGCTCATGGAGCGCAGTTCTACTCTGACATACATGGGGGTGCTAGGAGTTGACAATGACTGGATGGCAACTAATACTGGTACTAATTATCATTACAAATCAGGGACCACACATCAAATCTTCATCTGTAATGTGCTTCAGTGTTTAAATATCTCATATGTTTGTTCTATCATGCCAACCTTTTGGTATCTTACATTTAGGTTCCAAGGAAATTACTGGGTTTCATGCATAATATATCAGTCCTAAGGAAGGGCCTCAGGCCTAAGGCAGTCACCTGTCACACCCAAGGCTGGCGGTTCAAACCCACCAGCTGCTCCCCGTCAGGTAGCCGGGCAGTCTCTTTAGGAGCTCTGGTAGCATAGTGCCTAAGGCACTTGACTGCTAACCAGAAGGCTGGCAGTTCAAACCCACCAGCCACTTCTAGGAAGGAAGGTTGGGCAATCTCCTTCTGTAGCGATATTGCCTCGGAAGCCCAAGGAGGGGTCGTTATGAGTTGGGTCCGACTCGATGGCATATAACAACAACAAACGCATAATATATTGAAAAATAAAAGCACAGAAAAAGAAAATATTAACTTTCATATCTTAACTAAACTTAGATCAATATTAAAAATCATGAAATGTGGCTTAGAAGATACTAGTGTTATAGAAACTTGTTATTTTAAAAAATGCTTATAAAATAATTTTCTTTAAAGCATTCAAATAGTTATCAAAATGCCAATCTCATAACCTGCTCTGCTTTGCCAGATACAATCAGGCTGCATATGAAGCAACATTCAACAATAAAGAGGAAGCTAATCCCAGGCATGCAAATGGTTAAGCCCTCAACTACTAATTGAAAAGCTGGCTGTTTGAAACCACCCAGAGGTAATCAGAGGAACAGCCCTGGCAATCTACTTCAAAAGGCCACCACCTTGCAAACCCCGTGGAGAAGTTCTACTCTGTACACACAGAGTTGCTACTAGTCAGAATTCACTTGATGACAACAAGTTTTAAAAAGAAACGCAGAATATAATTATCAACTTTCTTGGTTCTGTCCATTCATCTTTTTTAAACATTAAATATATGTATGCTTAGTCGTTGTCAAATAAAAAGACCAATTTCTCCATGGATTCCTTTTCTCATTCATATTAAAGTACCAAGACATCAGATCTCAGCACCATGTTTTTTTTTTACATATTATTACAAATGTACATGGTATCAACTATCAAAACCTAAATGATATCAATCACAAAATAAGCAAAGAAAAGCTGACATACCTTTAAAAATATTCCATGACTATCAAGGTTGTTTACTATCTTGAAATTCTGTATTTAGTAAACTGTGACAGGCATAACTGTTTCTAACAAAATCAGTAAAAGCAAAGCTTTCATTTGCTACAAAACTCACCTAAAGCATAATGTAAAAATAATTAATAAAGATTAAACCAATTAAACACACTGACACACAAAAAAGTAAAAATAAATACAGAAACAAGATGAAATACATTTGGGAAAGAAGTAACTCACTACCATTGAGGTAGGATATGGGAAAAGTCCCTCTTTGATAAAACATTTTTTCCCACTAATAAGAACAGGAGGTATGTATGCATTAATCTCTAAATGCATTTGAAAGTGAAGGTCTTGGCTTCTGCACCCATTCTTTTAAATTCACTGATGACTAGAGAGGATATATGGGGAAGGCAGGGAAAAGTAAGAAAATAGGTTTAATATGATGGAATGAAAAGAAAGGAGTGGTTCTGATAAATCCTTGACAGCTTGGATTATCACAAGGGCACTAACAATGCTCTCAAAAAAGACAGGGATGAGGAGGAAGAGGAGTAATGTCACCAATGTGTACATTATTAAGCTTTCTCCTTAAGGCAATTCTGATTCCATATCCTCCATCAAATAGCTTGCAAATCAAAAAGAAAAAATACAGCAAAACAAAACCAAAAGCCACCTAACTTCTACTACTACAACCATCTGTAATAGCAAAAATCCTACAGTACTTTGATCAGTAATACCTCTAATTCTAGCTCAACCAATATATACGAGACTGAATCTAGTGTGTATATTCCATTACTTTGGTTCAACTGATCAAAACACAGAAAATTTTCTTTTTAAATTTTGGTATACTTAATCTGTTTCTCTCTGGACTTTCACCCTTCATAGGTTTATTTAATAAAATTAATTTTAATACCAACAGCAAATTTTAAAATTAAACAGTAAGTAAATATATAATATAGCTAGCAAAATGTCATACCTGCTGGTACTTCCTGTTGTTCTTCTGCAGGGGGAGCAGTCCCTTCTAAAATAAATAAAAGTTACACTCTATTATATATTGCCAACTAGTGTTTAAAATACAGTCAGTATTTAAATTACAATGATTATGCTTTATATTTTAAAAATTCCATTGCAATCATAAACACACTAGATTTTTATACCATCACAACAAAGAAGAATGAGAACTTAGCACATGTTTTGCACAAGACTCATGACAACATCATCTGTCTAACTGATAAAACACTGCTATCAAAGAAAGTTTGGATTAAAGCCTAGGTTTTCACCACAATTTTGCCTAAGACTTGATAATAGAGCAGAGGAAAGACATTTAAAACATCTTATTTCTTCTGTAAGGTTTCTACCTCATGAACCTAGTTTTAAAATGAGTCAAACAATACAAAGAATTATCACCATTGAATTTTACTAAATTTTAAAAATTACTACTACTTTGGTGAAAACATAATTCTATTTAATTTTAAACACCCTTATTAAAGCATAATTTTCATACAATTCATTTTATGTTTACCATTCAACACATTTTGGTCAATGTGTGTGCAGCGATATAACCTCCCAACAATTTGAGAACATTTCCATCACTCCAAAATGTTCCCTCATGTCCCTCTGCAATCAATCCCCATCCTCCTGTTGTTGTTGTTGTTATGTGCTGTTGAGTCAGACCTGACTCAGAGACCCCTCCTTGGGTTTCCAAGGCAGTATCACTACAGAAGTAGATTGCCCAACCTTCCTTCCGAGGAGTGGCTGGTGGGCTTGAATCTCCAGTCTTCTGGTTTGCAGTCAAGTGCCTTAGGCACTACACTACCAGAAAAGCACTGATATGTAACTACAGTTTTGCCTTTTCTAGACTTTCACATAAAAGCAATGATAACAGTCCTTAGTCTTCTGTCTGACTTCATTCACTTTGTGTGATGTTTCTGAAATTCATCCATGTTGTTTTGTGAAGCATGAGCTTGCTGCTTTTTATTGCAAAGTAATATTCTAATTTTTGGATACATCACATTTTGTCTATCCATTCAGCAGTTGACAAATATTTAGACTGTTTCCATTTCTTTGACTATTCTAAATAAAATGAAGAAATTTTCATGTAGACATTATTTTCATCTCTCTTGGGTTCATTAAGTATATGTTTAACTTTTGAATAAATCTTATGTTTTTTTTATTATTATTTTAAGAGCTTCTTTTACATTCAACATAATGCATACATTTAGTTTTATTCCCCATTTACCATGTCCAACCCTAACCCAGTCTCCTCCCCTCCCTATCCTGTAACCTTCCCCCTGTGCCCCTCATATTTATGCACTCCTGTTTGTCCTGCATTTCCTCATTTGGAATGTTGGTCCTCTGGTGTCCCATGGTCTATTACTCCAAGGGATGTATTACCATAGAGTATGTGGGTGCATCCTCCTGGGTTGAGTGGTCTGCGTGTACATCTTATTAGCTATTGGGCTGAGAGCCTGCCCCTGGGGGTACGTTTTATTCCAGGCACAGAATGTATTCCAGGGCCATAGTATTGGGAGTCTCACCAGATTTCATCTGACCAGTAATTCTGATCATTATTGAGGTTTTGGATTTTGTTCCATGTTTTCCCTCCACTCTATCCAGGATCTCCAGATTTGATCCTTTCCTGAGTGGTTGGTATTAGAAGCCAGGCACCATCTAGTCCTTCTGGTCTTGAGGGCCATCATGTCCTAGGGCTGACTGCTTCTAAATGCCCTTGTTTTCCGTTTTTGCGTTCTTCTTCACTTCCAACACTAGGAGACTGTTAGCTGAATCTTAGATGGCCGCTTGAAAGCTTTTAAGGTCCCAGTCGCTACTCACCAATGTAGGATGTAGAGCAATACTTTTATGTATTTTGTTATGCCAATTGAGTCTGGTGTACCCCAGTACTATGGTCCTGAGGTGGTAGATCTATTGGATCTCTGTCCCATAGAGTCTGGTTGTCTGTGAGGGATTACTCTGTGTCTGTCTTCTATTGTTTCTGTAAGGACTGCAGGTATTTTATATCACTGAGATTAGTCTCAGCTGAATCTATCCTTGGTCTAGAGTATACGTCTGTTCACTGACCCTCGTCTGATCATCTCAGATGTTTATGTGTTTATCTGTATAGTCTAGTGTTTGGTGTTAATGGCAATGTGGTATTGTGGATACATAGGTTGGTATAGCATCTGTCATCTATCTCTTATGTGCACAATTCAGTGTCCTCCCATTTCCTAATGTTATCATGGATCCTTCCCGTGTATCCCTCCCTGTACCCATGTCAGTGTGCAGGCCCCAACTAGCCCCAAATTAATCCCTCCTCTTCCTTCCCTATCCTGGTAACCTATTAAGTAAGTTCCCTTTCCCAAGCAAACCCTTCTCTGTATTTTTACAGTAATGGGCTCATACAGTACTTGTCTTTCTGCGATTGACTTATTTCACTCAGCATAATGCCCTCCAAGTTCATCCACGTTGTGAAATGATTCACGTATCCCTCATTGTTCTTTAATGTAGCATAGTATTCCATTGTGTGCATATGCCATAATTTGGTTATCCACTCATCTGTTGATGAGCATTTAGGTAGTTTCCATCACTTTGCTATGGTAAATTGTGCTGCGATGAACATAGGTGTACATGTCTGTTTGTGCACTATCTCTCACCTCTTTAGGATATATGCCTAGTAATGGAATTGCTGGGTCAAATGGTACTTCTATTTTCAGTTTTTTAAGGAAATGCCATACCATTTGCCACAATAGTTGTACCATTTTACAATCCCACCAGCAGTGCACAAAAGTTCCAATCTCTCTACAACCTCGCCAGCATTTGTTATTTTCTGACCTGTTGAACTTTGCTATTATTGCTGGGGTGAGATAATATCTCGTTGCCTAAGGCACTTGACTGCTAACCAGAAGGCTGGCAGTTTAAACCCACCAGCCACTCCTTGGAAGGAAGATGGGGCAATCTACTTTCGTAGTGATACTGCCTCGGAAACCCAAGGAGGGGTCGCTATGAGTCAGGTCCAACTCGACGGCACATAACAACAACGATTAATGATTGTGAGCAATTTCTCATGTGTTTGTTGGCTGCCTGTATATCTTCTTTGCTGAAGTGTCTGTTCAAGTCTTCTGCCCATTTGTGAATTGGGTTATTTGTCTTTTTTGTGTTGAGGTGTTGAAGTTCTCTATAGATTCTGGAGATAAGTCCTGTATCAGATATGTCATAGGCAAATATTTTCTCCCAATCTGTAGGTTCTCTTTTTACTCTTTTGATGAAGTCTTTCAATGCACACAAGAACTTAATTTTTAAAAGGTCGCAGTCATCTAGCTTCTCTTCTGTCTCCTGCACATTCTGGGTTATGCTTGATAGTCTACTTATGCCATAAATTAGGGCTCTCGGATATGCCCCTATTTTATCTTTGATGAATTTTATAGTTTTGGGTTTTACATTTAAGTCTTTGATCCAGTTTGTTTTTGTGTATGAAGTGAGGTATGGGTCTTGTTTCATTTTTCTACAGGTGGATATCCAGTTTTGCCAGCACCATTTATAAAAGAGGCTGTCTCTTCCCCATTTAATGGGTTTTGGACCTGCAAAAAGGGCAAGGAGGCCACATGTTCTGACCTCCTCTAATCCCACAAGAGGAAGGCAGAATCACCATCAATAGCGCAAGGCCTATTACTGCAAGTCCAGACATTCTGCCTCCCTCCAGGCCCTTTCACCAACCGTTCCTCCCAAAGCACCCACCACCTCTCCTCTGGGTTCGATAATT